TTTTTCAGGTCTGAGGATGGCCAGTGTTCTGTGTCGAGAACTCTATGCTTGTGGTGCATTCATCTGATAAAATACATGTTGACCTGACTTTAAGTCTCTTATTGTACGCCGGCCTTCGTCTTCTGAAAAAGTTTCGCTCTCTTTCGTTGTAAGTGCAACTTGCAACGACTGCCGTTTTGAGCTAAACTCGTCATCGGTTAGTGTACGTGTTTGTGGGTTTGTATAATACTCGTATTTTTGGCAACAAAATAAGTTTGTGCGTTTTTCGAACCCGTTTCGCCGGTGTCGAACGAAGAAAACTTCTTTGAGTGGTTGTTTCTATGAAGGTTTAGTTATGAGTTAGGACATAGATGGACTGAGAACTTGCGATTGTTAATTCGTCACACACACACACACACACACACACACACACGTGATAAATAGTGAGTGTGGCTTTGCCAGACAGAGGGGTTGGTAGAAATATTAGAACCTTAAGCCACAGGCATGAATCATACAATATCGATGGCCCCGGCCATGTTTCATCTGTCTAAGAGAACAGGGATTGGTTAATGGGTCTCCGAGATGCCTGAGGTTAGAAGCACATGAAAAAAAAAAAACAATATGAAAATTGAACAAGGCAGACAGTGATGGATCTAGAAATTAGTTTTATGATAAGAGTCGAAAGCGACCCCTCCCAGTGTTTCCCGCAGGATTTTGTGAGAATATGGTGGTTGGACTTTGGACCCTAGCAGTGTCACGGTACATTATTTTAAAGCATCATTCTGGTACACGTTGAGAGCATAATGCTTAGGTGGTTAGGGTTAGATTCATGAAGAGCTTCGTGTTCTTGTACAACATTTTAGTTTTTTTAATTGTGTGCCCAACTTCAGAGAAACAACCAAGCAGACTTGTGTCAGTCATGTGATGGGGCCAAAGAATTAAAGCTAACTCAACTTTCCAGTGTGAACACTTGGATAAACCTTATTCAATTATTAGGCCATGACATGATACTAATAGACAAATCCAGTTGATTGTTCCATAAAAACCTTTTACCCACTGACCTAAATTGGGAAAAAGAGGTCGTTGTATATATATTTATCGCTTAAACCACCTTTACAGTATGAATAATTGGATAACCTTTTTAAATTACCGGTTTAGACTGAGGGTTAGGCTAGGTTTCTTCAGGAACAAGTCCTGTTTCTCGCTTGAGGCCAGGAAAAGGCTAGTCACTGTGACCTTTTAACCTGTGCTGGACTATGGTGATTTGATCTATATGAATGCACCTGCCAATTGCCTGATCAAGTTAGATGCTGCGTATCACAGCGCACTGAGATTTGTGACAAACTGTAAAGCATTAACCCATCACTGTACCCTGTATGCAAGGGCTGGTTTGCTTTCACTAACTGTACGGAGGCTCAGTCACTGGTACATTTTCATATACAAAGCCATGTTATGGAAACTTCCATCCTACATCTGCTCCCTGATCTCACGGCGAATTCTAAGTGGCTACTGCCTGAGATCGAATGCTGTGGTTTTATTAAATGTGCCAACTGCTAGGACTGTCTTAGGGAAGATATAGCATTTAGATGCACAGCTCCACTGTCATGGAACAGTCTGCAATTGAATTGGAAACTGAGCAATCTGGTGCCACTAAATGTTTTTAAAGCTCGGTTGCATGCTACTCAATCGGAAACTGTTGGTACCTGCACATGTGGATAGTTATATAAATTGTAAACCCTGTAATGATGCTCTATGATGTCCTTTTTGTTGTTCTGTTTATGTTTTTATGTTTCATGTGGAACCTACTTGAGCAGGTCTTCCTTGAAAAAGAGATCAATGATCTCAATGGGATACACCTGGATAAATAAAGGTTTGAAATGAAATGGAAGGAGACAAAGCAGCTTTGGGGCGGGGTTTATGGGAAACACAACGACTCTATAGGCCCAATGGTAGTAATCTTAATTACCTGAAGATCCAGGTATTTTCATACTTGAAAGACGGGCCATTTTGTCTTTGTGCACCACTGAGCAAATGACATAGGAATGAATAGGGCCCAGCCTCTAACGCTGTTTCCAGTTATCGTTAAACATCCATGATTCAGAATGAAAAACGTTGAGAGAACAAAGCTTGTCCCAAAATGAAATGTAACATTTTTAAGGGTCCACTCTCATGGACACTGAACCTAACCCTTTCGAAAGATGGGCCAAATTGGAGTTGTGTTTACAAACTACAACTGACAAGTCCTATTCATTGGGCCTTTGAATTGGGTTTTGGATAATGCACGATATAAATAAACGTGGTGCTATATACCGCAGGACAATAAATATGTATATGTTTGGTTATACAGTACCATTCCTCTGTGTTCGCGAAATCACACACCATGATGAGGGCAGATATTGAGGAAGACAGTGAAAAACAGAGCAGAGCTGTGTACTGAGAATATCTATCAGGGTTATTAGAGAAAACAATCTGGAATGAGATATATCGGATTGTAAAAGAGGAGTCTAGGAGTCAGAAAATTCAAACTGTTCCCATTGGGAAAAGTGAGCTGACTTCAATTACTTTTACTTTGGATAAAGTTATTGCAATCTAGATTTCATTGAGATAACAGAGGGATTAAAAACATCAAATAAACAGCATTAAAAAAAAAAACAAGGCAGACAGATAACGTGAAGAGAGCTGTGCTGGCAGAGCAAGGTTGTGTAAACTTTGTATTACCAGAGTTGAACTTGAAAAAAAAAACTTGAAAGTGTCACTTTCATTGTTTGCAGGTTAGACAAAAGATAAGCGAATGCATAAACAATAGGGAAAAGTCCTAAATATATCCAATTGAGAGGAATAAATAACTTGAGAATTACTGAGCATTAATACTCTTTTGAATTTTCTTTAAGACAGTAGGCAGATTTATTTTTAAAGAAAAACTTTTTTGATGTAAAGTTTGACCCCAACAGGTGTCCATCCTGCATTCTACTTCAAATATCATCCCAGGCGAAATTCCCAGCAGTGACAACTATGACATTCTGCATAAAAGCTTCATGATTACCCAAGTGGACTGATTAAAAAAAAAATCAACACATTCAAAATGTAGGTCTTCTGAAATAATCTCCATTTCATTCCATCACTATGGAAACCAGGGACCAAAATAGAGTAGAACATTTGCTGCGAGAGCGTTTCTTTTAATGGGTAAGTAAGTTTGAAATCATGTTTGGAAAATGCAATGGTTGTTGTTTAGCGCATTTGCCTGTTAGTGACAAAACACATTTAGACAACATACTCTACATTTGGCTAACAATTCAGCATAAGAAGCATTAAAAAAAAACGAGTACTGAAAATGTGACCATTATGCAAATGTCTGAAGGCCCTATGACGGCACAAATATGTGGTTAAATAATACTTGTTAAATATAACTTTTTAAGATAAGTAAAGTAATTATGTATATAAAGTAAATGTGGAAAATGTAATCTTAGAGTCTAGAAACATGATAGTAGCTTTGTGACGTCTTTAAGGCGCTGTGGTTCTTTGAGCTAAATGCTAATGTCATCATGCTAACAATAACAATGCTATTAGTGCATTCCATTTGAACTGGGAAGTCAGCTTTTCTAAGTTCCTAAATACAACCTGAATGCCATCTGAAGTTGCATTTGAATGTAAGAAAAACCTCTCCACCACCAACCTTGAATTGAATTCGAAGAAGGCTGCTCTGCTCCTCAACAGACGGAAAAACATAACTGATCAAGTGTTTGTAAGCCTTCTGTCTTTTTATTGTCCAATGAGATCAGTCGTACACACAGTGCTGTCCAACCTCTACGTGTAGACATTTTGCTATAGTGTTTACATGCGAAAAATACCTCTTATGCGTTATCAATTATCATGATTTCTCATTATTGAAAGCAATGGCTAACCTGTCGAGAACTGATATAGCTCACTGGGTTGTACTAGAGCGCGAAAAAGTTGGGTGTGACTGACATCATTCCCAGCTCTGACTGCTGACTTCTGAGATAAATCAAAGGCAGCATCACTTTCTGATGCTAAGCAGATAAGATGTTTACAAAGGTCACCATTTTAGTATGGTGTTTCCGCATGCTAAAATGTTTTAATTAGCTCTAAAGTTATAATTTAGCCTTAGCGTTGGAGGTATTTGGTAAAGAAGCAAAGCAGTGAAGTCACTTACATTTTCACAAGATGTTGGCAGTAGTTATTTAAAGTCAGGGGGTTACCAAAGTGAGGGTGAGTTTAATATATTTGCTATATTTGACTGTAATGCAAACTAATGTTTGTTGAGACATTCAACTTGAAGTCTCAAATGTCACCCTCATTAAGAGGATCTACAAAAATGTTAGGATCTTCCTAAATGTAATGGTAATCCAACATAGTTTAAAGTCCGACTGTCCAAATACAAACGTCAGGGCCATGTCCCTAGCATTGCTAAAAACGAGTATACAACACTTGTTTGGGCAGATGCTCCGTCAGACTGACTATGACTTACATACGTATTTTAATCTTCTATCCAATTCATATTCACACTATTTGAAGCTTATCCTACTAATTATGCAGTGAAGATTACACACTGATTGTCTCTCATATCCTGGGTGTTACATTAAATGTGTCCTTTCATGTTTGCTACGGACTTTTTTAGATTTTCTTAGTTGATGTTTTTGTTTATTTCAGTGTTCAGAAATGTCTCAGTATTAAACGTCAGCTGAGGCCTGTTAGCACCACAAAGGACTACTATCATGTCAAAATAATACTCTGTTCGCTATAAAAGTGATCAGTTAAAGAAGGGAGAAAAACATATATCTTGAAATGCCCAATTACATGTCCAATTATTTGCCAAACAAGGCAGTTACCAAAGAGTGTTCACTCTTTCCTCCTTCCCTCCGTCTCATTTAGAAGAATGACATAAATGACTAACTGACCGATGTAACATGAGGAATGGTAATCTCTGCCATTGTTGTGTGCAATGTTTGTGAAAATGAGGACCAGAGCCAGAGACAGGAGGCAGACAGATGAGAGAATGCGAGATGTATAACTCTGACAAGCAGTGTGACCCCGAGATAAAAGTAGGGAGCAGCACACAGCGAGGATATGTGCATGCATTTGCACAAAGAGTGGGCAGCATTTATGTTCAAGAACAGACCTCAGACAGCTTGTGCGTCTCCCATGAGGAGTTTTTGCAGCTGTAAGGTCATTTATTCACAAACTTAAAAAAACAAGTAAACAAATTTACATCTTGACACGACAGGGAAAGGTCTTCCTGTTTCTCTTTTAGATACTTTGCTTCTGGTGGGATTAGGTTTAGGTTTTCTTCTACATAGACCTGCTCTAGTATCATATTGTCAGTACAGTATTTATGACAGTTTTAGAGGAATTTTAGCAGCAACAAAATTGAAAAACATACCGTAAAATGAAAAATGTGGAGGATTATCAATCTTCATTTTTTTCAATCCGTTAACTAGCATTAAAGACCAGTTTTATCTTCATCCAAAACAAGTTCTAATTTCCAATTGGTGTTTTTTTAATAAAGGATTTCAGTGTTGATGAGCTTTGGTGTGATGCAACGATTGAACTTGTAAGGAGATTCTCCCCTCGTGTTAATCAGACTGCTTCAGGTTAAACACTGCTTTGAAGTAGTCAACAACACTGTATGAATAATGAGGAGATGGACTTATAGCAAACCATTTCTGAGTCCATTAAGACTGTGCCATCTTTTTCAGCATGCACAAAACTGTGAGTGGAATGCAAATAAAACCATCATCTAAATCAACAATGATGCGCTAAGTCTAAGTCTGAGCTAACATACAGTATGTGGTCTTGATAGCTTATGGGTGCACATCACTTTTTTGCCCTGGTTCTCAAAGGAGCACCTGGAGATTTTGCTTGGTGCGCATCCTTAAAATGAAATAAACCGGACCTTTTGAGGGGTACTTGACTTTATGAAAGGGGGGGGGGTTCGCTAGTGAGCACGCTCATGAACTGTTTGCCGGTTACTGTGCGGAGCGCATAAAGCAGACCCTTCACGCGATAGCGAGGGGTAGAGCGAGGGATCGCAGATGCCGTCGTGCATGGATTAAAAAAATTAAACCAAAATGGCTCGCACTGTATTCCCTGATAGTAGTGTTAATTTCGTCAGCTATTTTTTTTAATTTAGTTTTAGTTTTAGTCTTAGTCCTTTGTTAAATTTCCTTTTTAGTTGTAGTCATATTTAGTCACCTTCATCCTGTTTTTATTTAGTCAAGTTTTAGTCGACTAAAAGTCTGAGCATTTTAGTCTTATTTTAGTCAAAGAAAACTAATTATTTGAGTGTACTTTTTGTCAATGAAAACTGTTGAGTATGTTTTAGTCATCAGATTATGTAGATAGCCTACTCTCTGCAAAGCTGCATTCTTAATCATTCAGCCTGTGTTTTTCATCACATAAGGACAAGATATAATCTTATTGTGAATAAGTTAGACTAAAATGACAAATTATTGGTTTTGGCTAGACTAGTTTGACTGAAATGTTCTGGTCAGGTGTGTGGTGTTTTTACCAGCTGTGTTATGGCCACATTGCTTCCCTTCTGATAAAACAATGCATTCGCCTTTTTTCTCCGCCTCAGCGAAAATGGCCCCAAATATCACATCGTTTCTTTCTCCCAAGCAGTGGTGGCGTTAGACCTTTTTCGTGTCAGTCATTTTGACGGACAGGATCGTAACATTTCCGTAATAATCCATGTATTACCCGTCGAGTCTGTAGACAACTCGTCACTCACTCGCGCTGACGGGGGGGGGGTAATTCTGTTAACGCGACCACTGCTCCCAAGCCCTGTTGTTGCCATTTTATTTTCTGTTAAATAAGGTTAGTGAGACCATGAGTTAGACCCGAGTCTTCCTGACACAGTGTGCCGCTGGCCCAGGTTGCGGTCGTTTAGTCCAAAAATCAGCTCATAAGGTCTATCCCTTGGCCTCTGTGTGAAACGTCACGGGGTTAAGGGATAGTGGATAGGAGAATTCAAAAGGATTTAGGAGAAGAGACTGTGGTACTTTACAGAATCCGACTGCACTTTCACTATCCAACGTGTTATGATGCGCCAGCGGACGTCATAAATGTGCGTCTGCTGCTGTGGGGAAACTACATGGGAAACTGGAAACGGTTTCTATACAGCGGACTATAACATGGATGTATAATAAGAACGAGGGACTACTACTCATCTAGAGGCTCTGCACCGTGCTCTGATGCTGTTGTTTTATGCTTTATGAACGTGGACAACAGAGAAACATATTCTTCATGACCAAAGTTGGAATTGAAATAAAAAAGGAAAGTGCAATTTATGCTCGTCACCCTCTCCCTCCGGTCCACATTAATACAAATTATTCCAATACGTATGATTGTATGAACTATGAAAAGATCTTAAAATCAATAGAAATGTATTTATTTTAAACGTTAGTCCTTAACATCAATCACAATGTATATCACCATTCAAACATCTTTTAAAAGTTGAACAACCCCCACACTGCTCAGTAAACACTGTGAAATGTTGACTTTATTTGATCCTTTCAGTAAAAACTAACGTTCATATTTCTTTTTGATTATAATACTGATGAACGTTCAAAACAAAGCACTTTGGCAAGTTACCGTTTTAAAAAGCTTAATAAGCACCGTAACTTTCATGATATAATTTCTCGGTCATAATCGGTTGTTTCCGTGAACGGCCGACTGTTGTGTGTGACGGAAAATGCTGCGGCTGCGGCTGCAATGTGGGCAGCATTTTCTCCTCTCCTTTCAGTGAGGGAGGTTCAGCGGTTCCTAAGCTAAAGGAGGTTATAAAGGAAGTTTGAAACCTCCTTTCCTTTCATTTGGAGAATTGGAACGGCACTTATCATGGCTGCCACTCAGGGACTTCCGGGTCATTTCACTCCGTTAGGAAGGTTCCTGCTAAATGGACTATTCGACTGCAGCCTTGGTCTAACCTGCACGAACTCTGGAGGAGGGACGGTGGCTTGTGAGGGGCAAACCAACACTCCGGTGTAAAACATGTCCGAAAAATCATTTAAGTAAATACCAGGAAAATATATGAAAAACAATTTTAGAGAAGCGTACATAAAAAATACCAGAAAATGATGTTGAGAAAGTCAGA